AAATACTATGTGACTTCGTTTCCCCTTACCACTCTCACACAAACACCTGGTCTTCCTTTCCAATAAAATATTTTTGATTTTTCTGTGTCTATATTTTTGAATAAATTTCAGATGTTTGACTATTTTTACTATTATCATTGTTTAAAAATCCTCTTAATAAATCATTTTCTTCAAATTAATAATAAAAAAAACAATATTCATTCAAAACAATGTCCAAATGCATAAAATTGATAGAATAAAAAAAATATTGTTTGTAATATCTTTTACTATCATTTTGCCAAGTTATATATAGAAGTTCCCATTTAAAAAATTTAAGGTTTTCAACCCTTATATTCTTACACAAAAATGATACAACCGTTAAATGATATTATTACTAGCTATGACCATCAAAATCGATTTTAATCAGTACAATATAATAATTATTGTTGATAATATTTAACCAAGGACAACAACTTGAAATTCGAATGCTTAAAATTCTATACTTTTAGGTCTAGATTTAAAATTTTGTACTATTTAAATATTATAAATTTTAAATTCTAAAGTGCTTACAAGATTTTACTATAAATAAAAGTATTTAAACTATGGATAATTAAAAATAACGTATCATATGACTGCGCACGCATATTGAAACTTGTTTGAATACACTATGATAATGATGATACATTTCACGAAGTTATTTGGAAACCGAACCGATGGGTCCGATTTCCAGATTCTATCCTACTTGCAAAGCAAGACCGTGTTTAGGGGCTGTTTCAGTAAGATCAAATCTCTCTGAAAAGTGTTAAAGAAAATAAAACTATTCACAATGTTACATGATAAGTATTCCAACTATTAAAATATTATTAATATAATTTTAATTGAACACAATTTTACTACTAACAAAATAAAGTGATCTAACATTATTTTATCATATCTGAGAAAGTGATAACATTATATTATTAAAAAAAAATTTTATAGTAAAACTAAAAAAAAACGATTTTTTTTACTAAATTACTAGACGTGCTCCGATTTTCAAAATTTGTATTTCAACAAAATTACTCGATTACGAGATTCCGTGAAAATTATTAGCAAAGATCGGAAAATTTTTCGATTGCCAGCAAGCGTTTTATAACTTCGCGAGAAAAAAACGCTCACTGACACAAGAGTTTTACAACTTAAGGTTTGAAATGTTCACCAGCTCTCCCAATGACATTTCTAAAATATCATAAAAAAATTAATTTAATCTGTTCATTTTTTTTTTTTTTTTTGGAGTCCACGCACATGTTTTATAAAAGGTTATTGGCTCTTTTTTGTGCTTAGGTATACTTTGAACCTTTATTTGTAGAAAATGTTATTTTAAATCAATTCTATTTTTATCTTTATTTCATGTTATAGTTTTCATATATGTATTTATTGGGTTAGATTATCATGTACCTTCGTTGTAATTTTTTTTTCGGATATTGTGTTAGTTATATTTTACATTCATTAAGTGTACAGTTATTTTCTATCAATTTCTTTAAAATAAATTTAATTCAAAATTGTTCGATATATTTAATCAAATGTATTGATATGTATATGTAATTTGTTTAATAATCAACTTACAGTTCAGATGTACTTCATTCGCTTTGAACTTTTTTCATGTCAGACAGAATTTATATTAGAATACGATTTTGCATGTACGCACAGCAATATATTTAGTATATTATATCAATAAATGTTTTATAGTTATATATAAATTTCTGGATACTTATATGGACGGGAAAAAGATGCTTACGAGCCAAAGGCGCGAGATTGTCGCAGGGTACCTGGTCTGGAGCTGAGTCTTAGCTAGGCGAAGCTTAGTAGTTTATAGTATAAAAAATAAATAACATATCTTAAAATTATTAAATAACATAACAATAAATAAATTAAAACAATAGTTCACTTGTGCTTATATATTTAGTAAACTATTACCTATAGTTTAATAATTTTGACTAGTGAAAAAAAAAACCTAAATTTAATCATATTGTGGTTCTGCCGAAAAAAAATTTTTAATAAACGTATGATGGACATAGGATTTTTAATTATTTGATCAAAATATGCATGTAAATAATCATTGAGGGGTAAAGTTTCAAAAAATGTATTTTTTTCTAAATTGTCATGTTGTTAATTATTTAATAAAAATATTGTTTCAAACAATTTTAGTTTTACATAAGATAATAATATGCAAAAATGTCACATATGACGAAAAATTATTTAAAATTTTTTAAGTAAAATTTCATTATGTTTTTATAAACTAACATTTAACTGTAATTATTTATTACCATTGTAGTATGAAATTGCTTCTCAAATACTGTATCTATTATTCATAAAGTAATTTTGACACAATAAGGTGGCAATGAAGTGTGAGTACTTAAAGAATATGCAGAATTGAATGACATCTTGACAAAATATTTACCAACGTAAATTGCTATTAAATAATTCATAGGAATTTTTTAACATCTGTTCAGATAAAGATTGTAAAAGTTATAATGTATTACTATAGTCCTTGTATTATTTTATCCATTTCAGTGGATAATATTATAATTTAATAAAACTTTTACCGTTTGCCTATGAGCGTTTTAAAATTTCGACCGTTTTCGAGAAAAACGAGAAAGTCCACGCACATGTTTTGAACAAGGCTATCGACTCCTTTTTGTGCATTTACAGGGTGTACAGTGAGTGAAGAAACAGGTCAATTAATATATACAATATTGTCATGATATGCACAGACAGTATATCATTAATGCTGTAATGTACTATTTAAGGATTCAATTAATAAACCAAACGAAATGATATGTATACTAATATAAAAATAAGATATATATATATACCTTTTAAATGTTTAAATATACTAATGAAATTTTGTAGGAAAAAGCATATATTAATTATACAAAAGAAACGGGAAATAATAAACAATATTTAATAATAATGTGTTAGCCATAAGGTAATAAATAATGTGTACGATTTTATAGAACAAACGGTAGAACATTATGAAATGTTGATCGTTATTGACGAAAATGTAATAAATTACGATTAATAAAGAAATAATGGTAGCGTCGGTGATCACTTCTTGCCTTTGAACTATCAAATTTAATATAAAAAGCCCAAAATTAGGAACATTCTGGCTTAGATGTCACTCTGATGGTGGTCAGAATGCTCTCACTTGCTCAAATGCGGTCAGATATTCACAGAGGAACTCACTACGCTCATTCATTGCACATCTTCATAACGAAATACATGCGAGAAGTGATCCGCCGTCTCTACAATTATATTTATACGAGAACACAATATTCATTAATTTCAGCGTGTCGTTAGAAATATCTAGGTAGAAAATTAATAATTTCACCAAAAAAATATAAGGTTTAGAATTAGATTTTATGAGTACATAGATTAAGTAGGCATACAGGAAAATCGAGTGATCATCAATAATAATAATAAATATACCAAGTAAATTTAATAAATCGATAATGTTTGTACAGAGTTATTTCTTTGATACGTGTCTATTTAAAGAGTTAGGTCAGAGTTTTATATGTATAGCCACCACACCTCACTGGGTGGGTAGACACACGAAGTGACTCATCCCACCTATCATCGATAACCATCAAAACTTGTGGCATTATTGATATTAATGAATTGACAATTAATCACAATAAATCTCTTATTAATAGAATAAAGATCACTTTATTTTTCTATCATCTTCTATCTTTCTTACAGACCCTCGTACTCGTATCCCGAGTAATATTAGTAATACAATAAAAATAGTAACCCAAACACCCAACACATTGCATATTTAATTTATTCTTCTTTTTGAGTTACTACATCGAGAAGAATACAAGCCCATTACGTTATTTATTAAGAACACACTAATTATATTTTAACTCTGAGTTTGTAGGAAAAGTTTTTTTTAAGTCATTTTTTCTCTTTAATTCATTTCTAATACATGTTATAGTTGTCATACATGAATTGATTGGTATAGATTATTAAATATCTTTTTGTTTTGATATTATGATAGTTATTTTTATACATTATGTTTAGTTTATTTAGTATACAGATACTATCTGTCGATTTCTTTCAAATATGTTTTATAATATAAAATTTGTTGATATATTTAATCAAGTTTATTGTTATATATATATTTTATGAATTTATAATTAGGCTTTATAATTAGTATAGTGTTCAAATATACCTTCTTTTTCGCTTTGAACTTATTTTTTTTTTGTCTGCGAAGAGTTTATATTAGGATACGATTTTGCATTTACGCGTAGCAATATATTTTGAATATTTCATCAAGGAATGTTCGATAAGTTATAAATAAAATTCAGAAAGGTTTAAACTGTGCGAAATTCAGAATAATTAAATGAACTGATGTACAAAAATATGTTGAAAAGATTTTTAAGAAATTTTTATCAACTCCACTGTATAAACATGGAAAGTTAGGAGACAACTTTCCACACCACCACATTTGTTTTTTTTTATGCTTTCCTAGTACACTTTGAATTTTAAGCGTTTTTTTACACTGATGAATTCAGATAATCTGAAAATCCATTGTGGTGGGTTTTTTTGAGACAATTTTTTTTATTTTGCGTTTTAACTGACAGTATTGAAAATTAATAAAAATAAAAAAAATATATTAAATTACCCACTGAAATTTTTTTTGTTTATATTATTAAAACAATAATACTAATTTTCATTAAATCATTGTTTTTACCCAAAAGTTACTAAGAGATTTGTGATTTTATAGAATAAGGTATTTACTGTCGTAATCAAAATTTTAAATGTGTTTTTGCTTACTTGAGAAATTACCAATATTAGGATGTCCGTTATTGGAAAACTGTCACAATAATAATATGAGCATTATTTTTTGTTTACCCCAGATTTTATTTTTTGAAAATAATATTATTTAAAATGTATAATTTATTGAGAAAATTTTTGTCTATACATTTTTATCCATAATTCTTTATATTAAAGTTTGAAAATTATTCTATAAAAAACATTCAAACTATTATAATATTTTACTTTATTAAATAGTTTGTTTTACAAATACTTTAAGTACAATATATTATTAAGTACAATTTAATAGCTGACTCGTGGAACTGCTTAAGTCGTTTTGTACAATTTCTGTATTTTATAATAATAGAGATTTTATAAACTCAGGCCTTCGAGTTTTATAATTTTATTTACAGCTCAAACATCAACATTAATTTAAAATAACTTAGCTAAATTTATAACAGAACAATATTATATAATAATAATAATTATTATTAAACAATAAGTAATAGTATTTGTAATATATCCTAATTGTATTTAGACGTTAAAATCTTATGATATTTAATGAAAGAATTAGTTTTAGTTGAATTTTTTTACAAATAAAAGTTAGATTTGGAAAATTTTCATTTAAAAACATAAAGTAAACAAATAATATTTAAGTACATTAACTTACATTTAATCAGTTTGATGATTTTAATTTAAAATTTAGTAATCACTAATGGGAAATTGATGGAAACATTAAACCGCCTTTTATTAAATTAAAAAAGTAAAAATTTAACAGATTTTAGAAGTTACCAATGCGTAATGGTAATTTTCAATGTAATGAGTGTTTATTCGCAGTCATTTTTTAAATTAATTTAGTCGTCAATCGTACACATTGGTCGTAAGCAATACATTACAATGCATAGCAATAATATATTTTCTTATTGTATAATATTAAGCCCATGTTATAACAATATTCTTTTATATCATACTCGAAATAAAACGTGCATATTTTATATTATGATATGATTTAATTAAATTCGTGCACAAAATAACAATAAGACCTATTTAAAAAGAATGCAAAGTAAATTAAAACGTATCACGAAAGCATACAAATATGTCTTCATTATGGTTCCGTTTTATTATGTAGTTTGTAATAAAGTGAATCAATATGACTAGATGCTTATTATTTTGAATATAAGCATATTATATACATTTTAATTTATTGTATAGTTTGCGTTGTGTTTACATTGTATATTATAGTAAACAAAAATAGTTTTAAAAAATAATAACAACTGATTAATAACTATCGTATGCAACTTTTCCGATAAACTAGAAATGTTCGTGTATATTCCAATGATATTGCTAAGTCATTAATAGTAATAGTTTACTGTATAATAAAGAATATTCTAAAAACAATTAACAACGTCGTACTGTTCGCCGCTTTAGAAGTATTAATAAATAAAAATTACATAGGTAATCTTCAACAAATCGTCAAAAGGCAAATAGAGAAAGAGGACTTGACTACCATTGATACAAAGGCGAGTTTCTTTTCTTTGGTTCGGGACTTATCATTTCAGAGGCTATTGAATGTTTTTGAATGTCATTGCACATCTAAAAAGTAAATTGACCAGATATTAATTTATTTCCACAAACAACTAAAACCAAAATAATGTTATGGAATTTATATTAATTATTTTTTATTATTCGAATTACACGCTAATGTTCATATAACATTTACATATTTTTTTCACAGAGTCAAATGCATTTAAATGTTCATAAAATCAGTTAACATTATTATACTTATTATAATTAGAGTACTTATCACACTTCCACATACTAAAAAATATCTAAACACATAATTTTTTATAGTTTTGTGGGTAATTCGTCATTGCACTCTTGCGTTATGTCAATTAATTGAAAAAATATTTAGCTTAAAACGAATTAGTAAATTTATTTTTATTTAAATTTTCTATCAACACTTTGAATATAAGATTAAGTATCATATTTGATATTCAAAACTTCGCTAGTGTTCATTTTTATTATATTCGGTTTTCACACACTAACATTTGCATATAAACCGAATAGTAAGATCTTTAACATACTCTTGTGGGACATAATCGTTTCCGCCAAAATAATCTTCTAACTGTCTAACTACTAAAAAATTTGAGAACCATTTAAAAAATTGAATGTTACGTTCAGGTTTGTATTAAAGATTTTTGCGTGGGGTATAATTGAGCAAAATAAAGTAATTTTTTGTCCCATCACTATCAAATGACATTTACCCCCAAGAATTTTTGCCCCTCCTTAACCACCCCTAAATACGGAAAAGTCGTTTTGATTAATTACTTATTTTATCACATAGGTATAACTTTATAAAGAAAATATGACGTTTTAACAAGGTTAAATCAATTATAATAGATAACTGTCTTAAGTATGTATATATATATTTGTAATAAATAATAAAAATATATTTATAAAAAAATAAAAAATTATTAAAACATTGAAACAAAAATCAAATATTAATAATAAAATTAAAAAATATCTAATACGTGTAATAATATAATAAAAAATAGATCTATGATCTATAAATTTTTGATAATTGTTGAAAACTAATTTCATAAATTCAAATTTCATTTTTATTAAATTTATCAATTGTCTCTTTTTTTTGAACCGGATTTCAATTTTATTCCGTACGCTTTTTGAGACTGCATTATCAGAACTATATATATTAATGTAATTACAAGACTAAATATTTTCTATTAAAATTTAAAAAAATATATAGTAGAAGGATGCGTCTTATAAAATTGTTCGTTCAAATGTGAATGAAACGATTCACAATTATTTATAGAATACACTGATATCTAATAACAATAAAAAAATAGTAAAAAAGTTCTATTAAATGAAAAGTAGATAATTATTATCGGGTTATTTTGGCAAATACTTTAACCATTAGTTTTCAAGCTTCTATTTATAGACAGGTATATACAATGGGTTTGGCGGAAACGAAAAACAGACCGTAATCAGATTTGGCGGAAATGATGAACGCCTACTACTGTAACATCAAAAACTTATTGAACTAATTCAATCATTATTGTGCATGTAAACAAGGTCGAATAATGTCGATAACTAATATAATAGTTTTTTTGTGCATATCTAATAATTAGATATAAACATTGAATTGTATACTAATTTGCTTAGCGTTAAAATGTATTTTTAACATTTTCATAATAATTTTCAAAAATTAGTAAATTTATTTATTTCAAGTTAAATATTAGTTTACTTAATTCGTCTATATATATTGTGTAAATCCGCTTGACCCTTAAAGCTGATAAATTAAGAATTCACCTAATTGTTTTAATTTTACTAATATATGAAATTGACGGTTTTTACAGGGAGATCAAAATTTAGTCACTTCATTTTCAATGAGTTTATGCTTATAAATTTTGTGTACTTTAGTTATTTTTTTATTGTAATTTATTTTTAAAGAGTCCTATTTAGGACCACATAATAATATTTCGTTTTTTATGGTCTTCTGAAAAATTACCATTTATTACTAAATTCTTTTCTCAGAAAAATCATCTAAATAATGTACTTATCTAGACGTTACTTACTGTAAAATATGTAACGCTGTTGTTTTAAATTTATAATAAAATTTATCATGTAAAAAAAAATAACTTACTGCGTATTGCTTTGAAATGCATTCGTCTGTGTAGACTTTACCAAAATTTGAATTAGGCTGTTGGTAAGCATTATGTTGCCGGAACGGATTGTTGGGTCCTACAAAAAATCGCTATCTCAATAAACTTATTTATTCAAAAAATGTTGAAATATTTTTTTACCTTGTGGTATGTTTAAATTTCCACCTGTCGATGTATGTGTAGCGCCATATCCGTGATTTTCTGATGCAAGATCTTGTAGCTTACTACTAGATAACCCTCTTGGTATTGGGTTACTCGGAACACCATGTGGTGCTAAATGAGCTGTTTCTTCAGCCACCTAATTAAGCACAATTGTTCATACATTGAATATATAATATATATTTATAAAGTAATTGTTTTTCTTATAAAAAATAACAACATTCTTATTATTTCTATTACTATAACATATTTTGTGGCCATAATTCAACTAACATTTATATAAATACTAAAACTGATCTGTATGTTTTGATGAACACTTTATAAGCAAACGGTATAATTGAGAGCTATTTAAAATTACCAAAATACAAAATTACAATGAGATAGCCAACGCCTAAAAAATTATTAAGGTAAATTAATTAAGAAAAGTAATTCATTGCTTTTTTGGGGTATTGAACTTTTAATTTAACTATTTTGTTATTTATAATTCAGTATTTAGTTATTATTTTCTATTATTTCAGTGGAGTTAAAAAATATATACATTTTAGCTTTAAACTTTGCATATTATTTCCAGGATAAACTTACCGAATTACAAAAAAAAGGTATTATGTATATAATGTATTCCTTTAACTACTGAACTTTTTTTTCTTAAAATAATAGTTACATTAAAGATTATTAATTTTTAATTTATTTAAAAATTTTTATTGAACTCGTATAAATTTAAGTGTAACCCTATACAGTATCATTTAAAAATTTGAACCTAACTAAAATTATGACAATTGTGAGGGGAATCTGTCTCATAATGATCATAAAAATAGTAAAAATCAAGATTTTCCTAAATTAATATAGTTTATTTGCATTATTTAGATCATTTTAAATAAACTAGTCTATTAGTTGCTATTACCACGACTTAAGTATTTCGTAATATAATTGTTTACTATGAAGGGATAAATATTTTTTTTTAGATTTTTTTAGAATTAAATGCATCAATATCAATAAAATAAATATTTATAAAGTTTAACTTCAAACGTTGATATTTATTTCGAAGGGGTGACATCATCCTAACATCACTGGTTGAAACATTAAAAATAATTGTACTTCATTAACTTAAACTATTCAGGTTGTTAAAATATATTACAAAAATTATCCCACGAGTTGTTATAACTTATAACTTAAGGTGAAGAGTATTATCTTTCTTTAAACATAATCAAGAATGGGCAAGTTATAACATTATTTTAATCCATTTGAGTTAAGGTCAGTTAAATGTTATTTTATGTATAATTTTCAGTTTAGTTAAGTCAAAAATTATTATTATTTTGTTGTAATGTACATAAATTGTGTACATTATGTAGGTTAAAAAAGTAACTTGTTAAATTAAAAGTTAAACCAATCAAAGAGTTACGAGTTATTTAACTTAATCAAATATATTTTTATCGCACTAATACTAATACTAAAAAAAATGTATGTAACGTAATATTTTAAATATATTAGATAACAATATTTACTTGGTGTGGATCTTCAGCAACGGGTAGTTCCGACACAAATCCAGTATCTTTTCTATAGAAATTTATAAAAACAAATGCTGCCAATACCAATGCACATACAAAACCATAGCCTCTAAAAGTTGTTGTAGTACCTTTAATTTATAATAACTTAATTAATATTAAGAAGTAGGCAGGAACAATATTTCATTCAATTGTAATTTATGCTGACCAAACTGTGACACAAACATTCCACCTATTACAGCACCACATCCTCTGCCTAGACCATGATGAATACCTTGTAGTACTCCTTGTGCTGAGCTTCTTAATTGTTGTGGTGTGTTGTGCGCTATATAAGAACAACAAGCAGCCCAAACTGCTGCGTGAGTAATACCTACGGAATACAAAAGTTATTGCTAAAGAATCACTTTAAAGACATTATTACAAACATACGTTTTTAATAAATACAAATTAAATAAAAATTTTACCTTGCATAAATTCAAATGGCAATACCCACCAAGGGTTTTTGAGCCATGAAATATACAAAAAACGAAGTATATTGCCTGCAAGCCCTAAACATAATACCTAAAGAAAAATAATAATTAGCATAAAATGTAACATAATAGAAGTAAGGTTAATTCAAATCATCCTGTACCTTAACGTGACCCATTTGACGTATTAACTTGAAGCTAAAGAAGTAAGCAAATATTTCTGAGATGTGATTGATGACTGATGCGACGCCAAATAAAGTAGGTGATCCACCATAGTCCTTAATAAATATTTTTAAATTAATTATTATTATTATTTAATTCAGGTACTAATGTGTAATAAAGTATAAACTTTTTTACACATCTTTGCTAGAATTTTTACTCACTTGTAAATGCCAAAACAAAAATGTAAATATTAAACCAATGCCGAATCCCATAAACCACGAAACAAACAAAAATGAACCACATTTCAAGTTGGCAAAATACTTCAATACAGTTACCCATTCGGGAATTTTTTTTGTAGTTTGGGCGAAGATCTTAGTCTAAAATATAAATTAAGCTTATAAAGAATGTACTCATGACATTTTACAGCAACCAGACATTAAAAAATTACATTCAAGAATAAAATAACACGTGTTTATTGCACATCAGATAAAGACTTGCGAGATAGTGGAATGTTAAAAAAAAAGAAGTAATTTATTACTTAATTTTTAGAAACAACACATAAAATGTAAATATATTACTACCGCATGCATTTTAAATTACTTTGTTACTATATATTTTTTTATACTTTGATTTGATCCATCCTCTAAAATCATATATTTAACTGTGTTAGATACTAAGTTGCTGTACATAATTAATTTTTTATTGAATTTTTGTTTGAACATACTTTTAAGGTAGGTTCTTCAATTGCAGGGATCTCTTGTTGTCTAGGAGGTAATCCTGCGGCACTTGGAGCCAATGAAGGTAAATTCAGTTGTTGCGCCAATTCTTGTTGCATATAGTCGTCTTTAGTTGGTTGTAAAGTCGATTTTTCAGTCATCATTACAGTTTGTTGTTCTTCTTCTGATTCTTCGTGGCGGAAATTCATTTGTGTTGCCGTGATCAAGGCTGCACCCATTAATACCGAGAACGTGGCAAAGCATATTGTATAATTTTTTTCTTTGTCTTGTGGTCCTCCACAAGGGTGGTTCGGGAAAGCAGTTGAGTGATCTAACGCTATTCCAACAAAAAACATAGACAATCCCCAACCCAAAGATCCAAACATCCTCTGATGACCATACTTATCAGCATCTGCACCTAATAAAGTAATAACAGCTGAATCAGCTAACGTTATTGCAGGAGCACTGAAGAACTCTCCAATCATGACCAATAGCAGAATTAAGAAGACTGATTTTTCTATATCCTAAAAATAAAAACTCAATTAAACATAAAATTCAATTATATATCAACATTTTCCAAAAGTTCTATTTGAACCTTTAAATACATAATAAATATCTTTTGGTCGATATATTTTATACTTACTTCAATTTGATAAACATTATGACTGTGCGATGGGTAAACTAAATTATAGTGTTCTTTAGGGTTATAATTTGAAGCAAACGATACACTAATTGGAGATTTTCCTGCCGCATTTCTTGGCCGAATACCTCTACGGGTGCGATGAATCACAGGTAATGAAAGATCAGCCATTTCTGTATCGTTGTACTCATTAGAATAAGATTCATTTAAGAATAAACTCACTGCAGATAAATCTCTTTTGTAAATTTTTTGTGAATTTGGTGTCTCAAGCATATACGTTGTTTGGTTAACTTTTACTAAACACTTTGTAGGTGGTGGATCCGTAAAATTTAATGGCAGTGTAAATATAATCCAACATGATAAAGACGCCAATAACAATAATTTTCCTTTGCGCCATCTGTTAAAATGTTGAAAAATGTATTTATTTATTATTCAATAAAATATAAAAAGTGTATTTAAAAGTTTATTTCAAAAAGAAGAAGGTGTTCCAACAAAAATTATGATGGATATTTTTTGTACTTTATTTATTGCGTTATTGAAAAGCAGTCTTAATATAATAATAAACAAACTTAATTTTACAAAGGGATAGGTTATATAAGAACTTTTATTTAAATGACTTCATATTATTATTTATAGTATTTATTATTTAATACTTATCTAATATTTGAGTCATGTAAAATACGTATTTATTTGTGATCAAACATTTAAGAATGTTATAAATAAAAAAAAGCATGCCACATAATTGAACAAAAATCTGTATCAAATCTCCTAAATGAAATTGATAGTGTTCAAAAATACCTCATAGTAATATAAAACTAGTAAACTTGCACATTGCTTTTATTTATATCGATACGTAAAATCATATTTATTAGAAACCTGGAAACTGAATAAATTACTTAGTTTTATTATCTACAACTATTAGCTAACTTTCAAATACTTAGTAGTTTTTGTCAATTCTATAAATTTGTTTAACGATTAACTAACATTGTTTATTATTTAAAAATCATCTGTGAAACCATTCAAAACTGGCGCCTGCATTTGCCCTACATTAGACGACCTCCAATACTGTACTTAATCAAGTAAACTCGTTATGTACTTGTTGAACAAAAAATTATAAATATTATACTACTCAAATAAATAAAACTTTTTTTGGAAACAAACAAAAAATATGCTGAATTATTGAGAAAAAATGATTTAATCATTTTTTTATATTTTAGTTGTATTATTTTTGCACTATCATCCATAGTTTGTAAAGTGTAAGCATCAATACTCAAACCTTATAAATTATATTTATTTTAAATAATTTTTCGATCATAACATCACACAAAACAAATATAATTTAGTTCATTAATTCGTCTTTTAAAAAATAACTAGAGTATATTCGAGTATATTGAAACTGAATAATTTTATAAAAAGGAATAGTTCACAAAATTAAATATTTTTATTGAATCAAATTTTATACAAGCTATCTAAAATTAGAAAAAAAACGTGCAAATGGATAAAAGTTTTTTTACAAGAGTGCAAAGGGGGTTGAACGGCGTGGTGACAGGGTACTGTAAGTGAAAGGGGGCGAGAAAATCGATCGGGCTTACCTATCAGCCAAGCCTCCCCAAAATGGCGCTGCCAGAAACTCAACAAACGGTCTAGACCCGATTAGAATACCACACTGGCTGGGGTTCATGCCCATTTGTTTAAAGTAGACACCCATAAGAGGAAAAAGTGAGCCGAACGCTGAGTAAAAAAAAAAGTAGAACGTCTTGACAGTGAGCAGTTCCTGGTCAACCTCACCGAATATCAACTCGATGAGGTCTGATTTTCCTCGGATTTTGTTTGTTGACTCTTTTGCCTCTGGATATTGTTCTGGATCCACTTCACCAAGGGCCTCGGGGTCCACGCGCGGCCTTACGCCGGCAGCGGCCAACGCGGGCCCTCTTGACTCACGGGGCACCTCGTACGGTGACGCCATGCCAAAAACAACGACCGACCGTCCCGTTGACTACACCAGATGGACTAGTCGCTTGAACAGCAACTCTAAAGGGTGTTGACGCAGTGCAGGCAACAATGCGAACAAAAAATATTGCCAAATTATTTTCATTCACATTTACGACGGTAAAAATAGTCACTCGTTGTCGTTGTCAAAAAAGTCACACAAATATTATCAACTAATCCTGTTAAAAAACGTGCACAATAATTATTGTTGTGATGAAAAAATATAGAAATGTTTGAACGATAATTTACTTAATTCATTATTTAGTTCGGAAAATTATTTTAAGAACATCTAAATCGGAGACATACTGTATTTGTAAAAAATAGTCTGCTGTTTTAATGGTAAGGTTTTATGCTGTAAAAATCTGCTCTCATCCAATTTTACAATAGTTATTGTGCCATTCGACAACAATCTAAGTGGAATAATTCGTGGCCTAGTACTGGCGCTAACAGTGGTGTCGACTTACCCAAAAGAATCGATATACACACCACCAACGTTATTTTTGTTGACTCCGCCTACGTAACTACACTTATAAAAATGGCAAATTCATTCATACTCTAAATTTAATTATACAAATGATATACGTGTTTATAAATCAGAAAAATCAATATGACTTCGAATTCAGTAATTTTCTGGGAACGAATTTTTTTTAGATTAATAATTATTGTCACAATAAGAAATGATTCGAAAATTCCCATACGTAAATTTAATATTTTTAGTACAATTGTTAATTTTATACACAAGTAATGTAATCTGACATAAAGAATTAAAAATTTTTATATAAATATGACATTTTTATTACTATTTTTCAAAAATTTTCCCTACAATGTACGCGTTATAAGCTTTAAAGATACAATAATACATAATACATTCATGTAAAAATTCGTATATTTTTTTTAAGACGATTATTTTGATATATTGAAGATTTCCCATAATGGTTAGTTCATTAAAATATCTTACAAAAATTATTTTTAACAGAACTTTCTGAAACTTTATTTTTATGTCAATAAGAATTGAATTTTTACTATTAATTTTAGGAATCAATTATAAGTCACGTGTTTATTGAAAGAAGTCTGGGCTCCTTGGGCCCTTATTAATGTGAGATCATTTTAGTTGGGAGGTATAATAGTATGACATGAAAAATTTCATATGTCCATAAAATTAAATGTATATTATTAAGTAGCTTATTTTTTTTCTGAAATTAGAGATATTGCATTTTTATTTCCCATACTTTACCCGTAGGAGTTTTGTCACGCATAGCGATGGTATGCTTTATTATTCAAAGCATCATCAATAGTGTTTTCCTTAGCAATAAGCAGGGAGGTCCTTAGGGATGCTTAAGAACCTTCCGGACCCGTTATTTTTGATTAAAAAAAAGTTTTTTTTTTTTATGAAAAAATAACGTAGATTGCATCGAAACAAAATTTCCCTTAGGTTATGGGAATCTTAATAACGGCATTAGAAGTAAGTTTGACGAAACTTAAACAACTAAATACTATTTTCAAATAAAATATGGTGTTTTTAAATTTTAAATCCCTATTTAAATTATGTAAGAAGATTATTAAAGCAAATGCTTCGTGGCATAAAATTTAAATACAATAATTGAACACACTTATTTTAACTATTGTACTGAAATAATAAAAAATTATCAGATTGTGACATAAAGCTTTCATTGTAGGCTCTAATGAAGTTTTTAATAGTATATTCTTATAATTTTTTTATTATCTCTCACTTCAAAGATTCATTAATAAAAAAAAATATGCACGTATGTATATATTTTAAAAAATATGTATATATAGTTGTTAAAATTTATATGTAATTGTCAATAAAATTAATAACAACAAACAAATATTACAACTATTTTTATTTTCCAAAATAGTAATAAAACAAATTTGCTTTACTGAAACTTATGTTTTTAAATATAAGATGAAGGTTTGCTATATTCTGTACTTTAATTTAATCTAATAACACGTGTTATTAGATTTTAGAATTTAAATTTTCTGCGCCAAACAATATAATAGACAATTTCGTAGCAGATTTATTATAAATAACTCTTTTAACTAGGCAAATTGTTATAATTCACTTTGAATTTTTAGCTTCGATAAAACTGAGGCATACTAGTAAAATTAGGAGGACTAATATTACTTTTAAAAAAATGACATACAAAGTTTAAAAAGCACAATTTGAAATTTTTTGTCCTGTGCTAATTAAAATGGCTGGTTTCGCCTTTGTACACAAGAATTTTCATAAAAATGTTCACTTTTGAATTGAGTCATCGATATTACCATATTAAATTAAAATAGAATTTCCAACATGTTTTCATGTAAATAAAAAATTTTATAAAAATAAATAAATAAATATCGTCGTCTTCATAATAAAAAGCGGTTGTCAATTTATCGAAATTTTACAAATACATAGGTAGATATTTGATAACATTTTTAGGACTAAAGAATTTTTAGTTAATTGACTAAAAGAGGCTAATATTTATTTTTTGCTTTATCAGCCCATTATAGCGGCCTCCCCTAAAGAAGGAGGTATCTTAACCATTTATACTCCGTGAATGGATGTTAGTCCGTTGCCGGAGAGAGGGATGGCAACTCCAAATACCGAACTGATCTCTCGTTCGGCAAATGAAGCCGCCTGTGACCGAGTTTCGAACCCAAAGCAGTGCGCATCAAACACTACCGCGTTACCATCCCTCTAATATTTATTTACAAAAAAAATGAAATTTCGTTTTGATCTAATCCTATTGATATTTGAGGAGGATCTAAGATATCTTAACTGTCCCTCCCAATGTTTGCCTATAACAAGAGGATGAATAGAAAATTATATTTTTACATAAATAACAATATACTAAAATTGTGTATACTTATTATAAAATATTATTCTTTTCGAATATGCTAAAAAAACTAAATGTTTTCTTAAAACAAAATGTGATTTACAAAATATATATCGACATCATGTTGATTATATCTATGATAAAATATAGTATATATGAAAATACATAGAACACTACTGTATATTAAATTTCAAATAATCAATTTAAACGGTTTTTTATTAGTTCTTTCATAGGCCTATTGTCTATAATAAGTCTACGGTCTTTATAACTGAAAAATTAGAAAAATTAACAGAGTAGACATGAATTTGTTTTCTATATTGTTTACTAGATAGCGTAAATACGATAATATTGATATCAGTTCAGATGTTTCAATAATCTAATAACAGAACTTATGATAGCCAGTAATTATTAATATTGGTCAGTGTATTTACGTTAAGAAATTTAATAAAAATCTAACTAAATTAAGAACATTATGTGAAGTAAATATTGAAAAATGAATGTTTTATTAAGATTTGCAGCCATTTAATTTTAAATTTCCCAAGTAATTTTAAAACTTGTATATTTATAAAAAAATCATACAATAATATGTCAGCAACTATTGATCAAACCACTGGTTCACCATTTAACCCTGCTAAATTACATTCATCTATAAAAATCCCGTTTCCTAAATCATCCATAGAAAATGAATATTTTGTGTACCATCAAGGTGATCTTTTCACTCAAAGTTTTTCAGCTATTGAAGGTATAAGACGGATGGGTAAATTGTGTGACGTCACTTTAAAAGTAAGTATATATTTTGTTAATTAAAAAAATATATATATATATTGATGTCAACAGGTAGAAAATATGTCATTTAGTGCACATCGCATAGTATTAGCAGCAGCTGTTCCATATTTTAATGCTATGTTCACTCATGATATGATTGAGAGCACACAAAAAGAAATTGTTATGCGAGGAATTGATCCCGAGTTCGTTATATATTATTAATATTATATTATACAACAATAAAGTATGAAACCAGCATTTAATTAAATAATAAACTCTTTTTCATTATCTTTTAGATTTTTATTAGAATATAATGTCCATAAAATTATATTTTGTGAATATATTTTAACAAATTGGTTTCTAACGATTGCTAATCATTCAATATTTTTCCAGTCTTTATATTTATTAAAATCTGTAAGGTTAATTCATTATAACGGGAGTTATAATTGTAATTGGCCCTTAATGGGCATATAAAGCGTTAAAAAAAAATAATTGTAATCAATTCATTTAATTCATTCAATTAATTACTTAATTTAAAATTTTACATAATTAATATTTTTAGAGCAATGAGTGGCTAGTGTTACAAAAATCACCTTAATTTTAAAAAAATACTTAAAAGTTTAAGGTTTTGTTATATTTGATTACTTAAATTTTGTTACAATTTTTTTCCAGAGCATTAGAAACACTTATAAATTTTGCTTATAGTGGCAGAATATCAATTAATGTCAATAATGTGCAGTCTCTTTTAATAGGAGCATCATTTCTGCAACTTAAATGGGTGCGTAATGCTTGTGCTACATTCATCAAAGAAAGGTAATTATATTTGAAAATTATTTAAGCTTTTGTAGTATAGATATTAAAATTATTTTTTAAAAAATGATGAAGGGGTTTTATATATTTTAAACTAAATGGCCTTTTATTTAATAATAATATAATTATTTATATTTATACATTGTTTTTTTATTATTATTTAATTGAAATATTACAGACTTCACCCAAACAATGTTTTAAAAGTGCGAACATTAGCTGACTCATTAGGATGTTATAGTCTTATAACTGATGCTAATCGATATGTGGCTCAATATTTTCCTGATATTTCATTATCTGAAGATTTTCTTAGTCTAAGTATTTCTGAAGTAATTGACATAGTTAATAAAGATGAAATTCAAGCATCGGAAGAACAAGTAATGTTATATTAAAAAAAAAAACTATTCTAAAAATCTATTTATCTTTTATCCATATTTAAGGTATTTGAAGCAACAATGAGATGGGTAAAACAAGACGATCAAAGACAAGAAAGTTTTCCTCAGTTATTAGCTGCTGTAAGGTTACCTTTACTTTCTCCGCATTATTTAGCAGATCGTGTTGCTACAGAAGAATTAATAAGATCTTCTCATGAATGCCGGTAAAAGCCTTTATTTTATAGTAAAAATACTTTTACTATCATAAAATATTTATTACATTTCTTACATAGAGATTTACTAGATGAAGCGAAAGATTATCATTTAATGCCTGAACGGCGATTACTTTTACAAAGTTTTCGTACAAGACCCCGATGTGTAAGCTATATCTTAGGACATATCTATGCAGTTGGAGGGCTTACAAAATCAGGTAATTTGTTTTTAATATCTTCTATACCTGATTTCATTTTAAAATTAACAATTTCCAATTAAGTTTTTAATTAAACTAGATTTTAAATTTTAATATATGCTGTACTTATTAAAATTATATCATGTTAATACTTTGATTTTTACCTATAATATAATTTATTTATATTTACCCTGCAATTATAATAAGTAATATATTTTACTAACATAAGTAAGGGAGTAGAAAAATGTAGAAAACTAATCACTTTCTAATACATTAATGATTAATAATTTATTTCAAAATGCTATTACTATTTAATAGTTTTTTTTAATGTTGAACTGGCATTAGCCATTGTTATTACTAAATTTAAATGAAACTCCTGAAAAATTATTAAAAATAATCTTATATTTTTCATGGTATTTATTATATATGATCATCTTTTTCAGAATAAATGAAATAATTATTAACATTTTTAGGCGATTCTTTAAGTACTGTAGAAGTATACAATCCATTGACTCAACGATGGGAGATTGCTGAAGCTATGAGTATTTTACGTAGTAGAGTTGGAGTAGCTGTACTAAATAATAAGCTTTATGCATTTGGTGGTTACAATGGCATTGAGAGATTATCTTCAGTTGAAGTATTTGATCCCATTTCTAAAATTTGGAATATTGTATCACCAATGCATCGGAGACGAAGGTATACTTATTTTCCTTATTAATTTTATATTTTGTCATTTTATGCTGATTCAAACATCATTTTATTTTTTTAATAATTTCAGTGCACTTGGAGCAGCAGCATTAAATGATAGGATATATGTATGTGGAGGCTTTGATGGTGTTAGCTCTTTAAATATTGTTGAATGTTACCAGCCTGATTTAGACCGATGGACAATCATAACACCAATGCTAAAACATAGAAGTGCTGGTGGTGTTGTTACATTTGATGGTTATATCTATATTTTAGGTGGCCACGATGGTCTTAGTATTTTTGATTCAGTAATAAAAATTTATTGTTCTATTGAATTTTTTCATAATCAAAATTATGTATGTATCAACAAATATAAATACTTTTTATAGGTTGAAAGGTATGATACCTACACAGGACAATGGTCATCAGTGACACCTATGTTGATTAAACGTTGTAGATTAGGTGTAGCAACTTTAAATGGTAAACTTTATGCGTGTGGTGGATATGATGGTTCAACATTTTTACAAACTGTTGAAGAGTATGATCCCCAAACTGATAAGTATGTTACTAAATTAACAAAATTTCAAATTAAATAAGTAAATTTGTTAAAAGGTTTAAATTTAAAAATATAATTATTAATCTTTAGTTGCATAAAAAATCTTAAATTCACTTTTTATAATATTTTTAAGGCTATGCATAAAATCAAAAAAAAAAAACCCAGCACAGGGGGGTCGCGGCACAGTGGTGACGTGGCATAGTCGGATCAACTAAATGATATCTGACAGTGATTAAAATCACTATCAAAAATAAACGCTTCGATGCAAATCTTTAGATAGTGTTAAATTTTAAAAAAATTGGTGTTTTATTCCAAAAGCTACTTGATCTGCTGGTTCCTTATTAATATCCTGATTAAGGTAAAGTATGTCGAATGAAAAAGGGTTTATTAAAAAATATTATTTGTCATAAAAAAATTGTGTGGATCCATAAACTTTTCAATAAGTTATAGCATTATAAAGTTAAATATAATATAAATAATAAAATCGAGAATTTTCACACGAAAAAAGCATTCGGTAGCCATTTTCGCCATGAAGACAAGTCCAGAGGTCAAATTTTTTTTTTTCAAATTAAAGTATATTACATTAGCTTTAATTTAAGATATATATAAAAGTGTCAGACCTTCCGGAACATTTTCAAAAGTTATGTTGAAAAAGTAAATTTTTTGTGAAAAAGTTGTCATTTTAAATCCCCCCCTGTGGGCAGGTTAAGTGTCAGATTTACAAAAAAAATATACCAAATGATAAGTAAAGACATCAAGCATCTATATAAAAAAAAATTATATTGATATGTTCATTTTTGAAAAAGTTAGAGCATTATTAAGTTAAAAATATAAAAAAAAATTATTTTACAAAAATCGTAATTTTTTATTAACTTTGATGTCAACTTTCACCACGAAGACAAGTCCAGAGGTCAAATTTTTTTTTTTCAAATTAAAGTATATTACATTAGCTTTAATTTAAGATATATATAAAAGTGTCAGACCTTCCGGAACATTTTCAAAAGTTAAGTTGAAAAAGTTAATTTTTTGTGAAAAAGTTGTCATTTTAAATCCCCCCCTGTGGGCAGGTTAAGTGTCAGATTTACAAAAAAAATATACCAAATGATAAGTAAAGACATCAAGCATCTATATAAAAAAAAATTATATTGATATGTTCATTTTTGAAAAAGTTAGAGCATTATTAAGTTAAAAATATAAAAAAAAATTATTTTACAAAAATCGTAATTTTTTATTAACTTTGATGTCAACTTTCACCACGAAGACAAGTCCAGAGGTCAAATTTTTTTTTTTCAAATTAAAGTATATTACATTAGCTTTAATTTAAGATATATATAAAAGTGTCAGACCTTCCGGAACATTTTCAAAAGTTAAGTTGAAAAAGTTAATTTTTTGTGAAAAAGTTGTCATTTTAAATCCCCCCCTGTGGGCAGGTTAAGTGTCAGATTTACAAAAAAAATATACCAAATGATAGGTAAAGACATCAAGCATCTATATAAAAAAAAATTATATTGATATGTTCATTTTTGAAAAAGTTACGGCAGTTTTTAGTAAAAAAAATTGAAAAAATTTCGAAAATTAGCGATTTTTAAATTTGTAATTTTTTTGGAGGTTTCCCCCATTTACGGGGAACGAGGGAAATTTTTTCAATTTTGAAGGGTAATGTCTTCGACTAGATACGATTTGTGATCTTTTGACGTATCGTTGAAAGAAATCCGTTCGGTGAGAGCTGAGAAAAAGTGGTAACAGACACAAAAAAAAAAAAACACATCATAGTAAAACCAATACCTTCTCAGCTTCGCATCGAAGCTAATATTGTTACATTCTTAATAAACATATAAACAATGTTATTTGAAAAAAAAAATTCTCAAAAACCTAGGTACTTCGAAATGCTTCCAAAAAAAAAAATTACAAAATCTGTTTCAAACTCAGAATCTAAATTAAGACTTAATTTAGGTATTAATTTTTTATTTTCAATAGAAAACAATATTTCCTGATTACTCTATTAATTATCTATAAGTTACAGTATTATAAACCATTTTAATTCATTTAAAAAGGCTTTCTTTTAAGTATTTTTCTATCACAAGCAAAGTTTATCAAAGAAAACACTAAAAATAAATAGAATAATAATAATTTGTACCTCACACCAAAATTTTTGGAAAATCTTCAATTATACAGATACATTTTTACCTATGATATTAATTACAGGACATGTTTATGTATATTTTATCAAACTGTTATTTTTAGGTGGAGGTTTATATCTCCAATGAATGTTACAAGAAGCCGTGTTGCTTTGGTAGCCAATGCTGGTAAACTTTGGGCAATTGGTGGCTATGATGGATTTTTGAATTTACCAACAGTTGAAGTATATGATCCAAAAACTGATTGTTGGACTTTTTCAGCCTCTATGTGTGCACATGAAGGTGGTGTGGGTGTAGGTGTTATACCTATTCAAGAACCTGAAGTTCCATAAAAATAAGGATACCAAAATATTTATATTTTCGTGATATTAAATATCATTCTTTCATTAAAGATACAAAAGAGTTTTGTTGATCTTTTGATTGATTGACATACATGGGCCTCTCATTTTTTAACAATTGAGATTTTTAATGGTTGTCAGTTTCTTGTTTACCAAGACTTAATGAGCAAATAGTTTTTCCTGAAATTAAATTAATATTATTTTTTATGAATTACATACAAAACAAATTACTCCATATAGATTTAGATAGAGGAATCCCTATCATATGAGACCAACTTTGATTAAGTTAATCTATGTCAATGGAAATTCTATTAAGGTTTGGAATATAATTTGTATCTATTTATATACTTATAATAATTTCAGTAAACTTTAAAATATTGGTTGATTGAATTGTTTGATTTTTAATTCAATAGGAGTATGCATTGTATTTCTTTCAACAATTGGAGAAAGTTTTTAGTAGTTTTGATTAAAAGAGAGGATACATAGACTATTCCTTTTCTTGAAGTAATCTTTAACTTAAAATTAAATAATATAAAGTCTGTAAAAATCTTCAATAAATACTTTTTAGGATTTTCTAAAATATTTATCGATTTGTATTGCTGCTCATTTGGTTCTTAAAGATGTATTAATTTTATAAAACTTTATGCAATTAAAACTCATTGTTACATATTTGTTATTTACATTGTCTGTTTGAAGGCTAGTTTTGAATAATACTGTTCAATTATTTAAGCAAATATATATCTTATGACTAATATTACATATTTTTTAATAAATTAGTGTTAATATAATACAAATTAAAAAGTTATTGATTATATAAACTTTATTTAATAACAATTATCTTTTGAATTTGTAAAAAAGAAATTAACCCTTTTATTCATATTGATTTATTTAACATTCAATTAATCTATACCAAATTATTATAGAAGTAAATTGACATAATAAAATACAATTTTACATATATTTTAAAAAATTTGAAAACAAAATTTTCATCAATTATGTGTTTTAAACTTGAAATTTTAAATTAAAATTCAAGATTTTTTTACTTTTACATCAATGTAAAATTATTTAGGTTCTAGAATTGGATGTTTTACTATTGTATTATATTCTTTATGCTTGTAGCTTTCATATGGTATACTAGTATTCGATTTTGGATATTTATTACAAAAGCTAGGTAACTTTAAAAGCTTGCTCAATTTCAAAAATAAAAATTACGCATTTTTAAATGCGTAGTAATTAAAATTGTTATTTGAACGTAATCATTTAATATGTACTTTCATATTGTGATAATTGTATTGCTAATATGTAATACACAAAATATGAATTAGAAAAATATCTAACCATTACCTAAACAATTGGCTAAAGTACCAAATGTATTTATTGAATTTTATTTTATCATAGTAAAACTAATGAATTCGTTGTTCAAAGTAAACGTTGTATGATACAGAAATTTATGGCTAGTTAACTTTTATTTGACAATTATAAAATTTTTATTAAAGTAGAATCGAACTCAATTCTAATATGAATAAAAAAACAAAAGTAAATGATACTTAAAAATAACAGGAAAATATTATTACATTATTGGAATCTGATATTAAAATTAAGCAAATCCTAGATATTATTGAGCACAGGATATAAAATAACGATTTTTGTAGCTACGCTATTAAAATTTTAAACTAGCTAAATAGTAGCGTACCCACACACCCTTTAATTTAATTATCTGATTATTCTACTCTCATTAATTGTTTTTTTTTAATTTTTACGAATTATGTAAATTAATTAATTAGGTTCTCCAATAAACTTAACATTTATTTTAAAAATTTAACAATTTTAATTTTGATATTAGAATGCATTACATTATAATAAATCTTTTTCGATGACAATAGAAATAATTTGTCAAAATATTATTTGTAGACAAAATATATCATCTTTATTGAAATACAATAAAGCATTTTTACTTTTTTGAAATGTTATCATGTTAAATTAATTTACATTGTATTACACAATATATAAACTTTAAGAGAAATGTTAAACACGTATATCTAAAATTAAATTTTTTTTCATTGTCTTACACGAAAACTATCAAACATCGACAACACGCTTTCTTTTTTCAGACCTAAGAGTAGTTTTATAAAAACGAATTTTTTCGAACGGTCATCCGTAAAGTTAAGCGAGTTAAAATAGTTAAAAACTTCAAACGATTCTTGTCTCCTAAACTAAATTAACTTATTTTGTAAAAAAAGAAAAAGGACGTAGCTGGTTTTTTGGTCTTTAGTGTGAATCGATAAAAAAATAAGCATTTCAAGAGGGAAAACTTCAACAACTGTCCGTCCCATGAGAATAGGTATATTTTATAATACGTCATCATTTCTAAGGCAGTATTCAAAATACAAACATAAGCGGCTAAGCTAATTGCTCCACCGACAGTAAGTACAAAATGTCTAACTCTTTTTTACTCGTTTCATTCTTCAGCATAATTTTTCGCCGTTATTAAGAATAATCATTATCATCGTGGTACTGTTGGTAGAAAAGCTCTTAAAATGCGTGCGCAGGGAAATAAAATATACAATGTTTTGAACAATTGACTTGAAGATCTCAATGTAAAAATTATAAAAAAACGAACTATTAGATAATCATGTAAAATTAAAAAAACTTGATAATATATGGTTTGTTGAATAATTTGAACTTTTATACTAAAATTTAAAGGAATTCCGTATGAGGCCGTATTTTAATAATATTATGAAAAAAACAAAGCAACTCTGTGAACTTGGTAATATCGATATTTTCGCATTGAAGTAAACAAAAAAATAACCGTAAAACATACAAATTCGTCTCGTTAATTAACATATAGATAACAGTGCACTTTTGAGACAAACGATATGATAGTTGATTCTGAATAGAATTTCATCGTTCATTCCCTTAGAATTTTCAAATTGATTCTAGTTTTTAAGATGATCGCTAAATTAGAGAAAATCAGTTAATTACGTAATTAACTGATCATCAAAAAAAAAATTTCACAAAACTCCATCTAAAAAACAATAAAACATTAATGGTTTATATTTAAGAACTTTTTGCAAAATTTGAGATCTATACTTCAAGTTTAACTTAGTCTTCAAATTTTTTTTGTCTTAAAATAAATTAATTTAGATTTTATATTAAAATTATTTTGTAATATTAGTGCATGTAAAATTATTACCATGATAGCATATTTAAAAAATAATGTCTTAAATCTTTTTTATTAGATGCATATCATATTTTCTATTATTACAACGTTAAGAAAACATTACAATGATATTATTAATAAAAAAATGCTATCTGGGATAATGTCTTCAAGATGGCAACATTTAGATTTTTCGTATTATCATATTTAAATTAGTCAACAATTTAAATAAAGTAACTCTACATGAATACAGTTTATATTTTTTATCTGAAGAACAATTTGCAATCTAATTAAATGTTTTGGAGCCTTATTAGACAAACATTCAAAATATCAGAAAACCTTTGTCTTTTAAAGATACATAATTAAGGTTAACGTAATATCTTAATGATAGGAAAAAATTGTCTCGATAACTTGCCTTTTGTTTTTAAATATTAACCTAAAACTACACTATTATTTTTATATAACAATGATTTTTTTTTGTCCAGTTTAAACGTTATGTCACTGTAAATTTATTAAAAAGGGGAGATCAGGGCTTTTTTCTAGAACACTTTTTCCATTTTACTTTTTTTATATTAAGACAACTGTTTTTTTAACTGGGATAAATATTTTATATAAAAAATAATATACCTCCTTTAAAAATGTCAAACGCTAGAACTACAGGCAAAGTACATTAAAGAGAGCTAAAAAAATTGTGAGAACCTACCCCACTTAAGGGTTGGTTGTCATAAGTATTCGGGCTGATTGTCCGGGAATATTAAAGTAACATGAAATTCTATTATATTTTTAAATAACAAATTTGTACTTATAAAATAAAATACATTATGCAATATAAGTAAAAATTGTTTTATGATCACATTTAGACATTTTCGTTATTAAGTTTTAGTTATTTTTAAGTAACTAATTTAAACTTTATACTAAACAATATAATATTTTTACTTAAATATTTCATAAAAATAATTATAAATTTATATTTATATTTAAATCATATGTTATATAATTATTTTTGTTATACTGTCATTATTCATTAGTACAACGTATTAGATATCAGTTAAAAATAAAACAAATTTTTGACATATAATGTATATGTCATAACAATCAGCCTCGCAAAATTTGTGACATTAGCCCATTTACTGTACTTGAAATAATAATTGTCACTTAAGCATACAGCTTAAATTTTTAGACTCCAATTCCAGTCCAGGCCCTGATTAAATACCTAGTGTATTTTTAAAATAAAATGTAAATATGTTATATCCTTATTTTTGTTATAATTCATTAATCTTTTACTCTCCAGTGGTACTTTCTCTGATTCATGGAAAATGAGTCTTATTCGACCAAAATCATCTTACGATCTGTCGAATTACTGGCCAATTTCTCTCCTTTTCCTTATACCAAAAATGTTTTAATTTATAATTGCAAATAAGGTATACGAATAATATAATAGAATACAATCAGTGTTTTAGGCGCAATAAGAATTGCTCTTTATTGCGCTCCACCTGTGAATACCAAAAGTATATTGGTCTTCATACAAAAAATCTTAACTGAATTTGGAAAAAGTACAACAAAAATTCTTACGTTTTATTTCTTTCAAATTTACTATAACTATACCTAAGGAACCACATTCGTCTTACTCATCTTCTATCTTTATTAACCTTGAAACATTGTAACAAATCGTTTGCAAATTCGTGTTTCAAATATACAGAATGTTCAGTAAGTATGGAAACATATTAATTTTTATAAACAATGAGAATAAAAGAAACCCATTTCCTCACTGAACACTCTATACATATCGTTAGTATACATTTTTATGTAAAATGTTTACAGGAATTATACTGTCCTGATTTTTTACGCTATTTTTAGCTTCGATGCGAAGCTGAGAAGGTATTGGTTTTACTATGATGTGTTTTTTTTTTTTTTTTTGTCTGTTACCACTTTTTCTCAGCTCTCACCGAACGGATTTCTTTCAACGATACGTCAAAAGATCACAAATCGTATCTAGTCGAAGACATTACCCTTCAAAATTGAAAAAATTTCCCTCGTTCCCCGTAAATGGGGGAAACCTCCAAAAAAATTACAAATTTAAAAATCGCTAATTTTCGAAATTTTTNATATTTAACTTTATAATGCTATAACTTATTGAAAAGTTTATGGATCCACACAATTTTTTTATGAGAAATAATATTTTTTAATAAACCCTTTTTCATTCGACATACTTTATCTTAATCGAGATATTAATAAGGAACCAGCAGATCAAGTAGCTTTTGGAATAAAACACCAATTTTTTTAAAATTAAACACTATCTAAAGATTTGCATCGAAGCGTTTATTTTTGATAGTGATTTTAATCACTGTCAGATATCATTATACTTGATCCAACTATACCACGTCACAACTGTGCCGCGACCCCCCTGTGCTGGGTTTTTTTTTTTCGTGACCATTCTCTTAGTAGAGTAAACCCATTTTATATAAAATATTACAGAATACAAGCAACACTCCGATTACAGACTTATGGAAACCATCAATTATTTTAAAGTAGATCTATTTATTTTATT